GCCTTATGTTGTTAATGTTTAATTTTAACATGCTGCAGCTGGAAATTTATGGTATGTTGTGATCTTCTGGCGAGTCTGTGCTGCGACTTATTTCGCATTACAGAATGTTATTTTAATTTTTTAATATGAATGATGTTATGGGGGTTTGTAATAGACTTGAAATAAAGAGCTTCACTCATGCCTTGTTAATATTTAACACATAGATAATATGAACCATAATATGGGGGATAGTAATAGACTTGAATAAAAAGAAAATCATTCATGCCATGTTAATATTTAAAACATAGATAATATGAACCATAATATGGGGGATAGTAATAGACTTGATAAAAAGAAAATCATTTATACCATGTTAATATTTTACACACAGATAATATGAACCATAATATGGGGGCTAGTAATAGACTTGAATAAAAAGAAAATCATTTATACCATGTTAATATTTTACACATAGATAATATGAACCATAATATGGGGGCCAGTAATAGACTGGAATAAAAGGACTTCATTTGTGCCTTGTTAATATTTAACACATAATACGAACCATAATATGGGGGCTAGTCATAGACTTGAAAAAAGGACTTCATTTGTGCCTTGTTAATATTTAACACATAATACGAACCACAATATGGGGGCTAGTAATAGACTTGGAAAAAAAAACTTCCTTCATGTCATATTACTATTTTATACATAAATACAGTAAAATGCTTTATAGATATACCATGTCAACATTAACTGTGTATATTCTGTGTTTTAGGTGTGGCTGGTTATGTGGCTGCTAATATGTACAAGAAGATGGGAGGAGAGAGCTGGGTCTGGAACATTAACCTCACTTCTTGCCTGTTCTCTTGTGAGTATTCAAAAATGGTGAAAAAAAAAACAAAAGTCACCAAGCAAGCAGTCTCCATTATATGGAAAACTTGTATTTATTAAACGGTTTTCACATGTTAAGTGCTTCTCTTGTATAGATGGATTATTGTTTTGGAGAAAATATATCAGATGGCAAGCAAACCATGTTAAGGCAATATTTGTTGTAAGAAACCATGATTCAGAACTCTTTGTATTTTTCATATTTCCCTATTTTCAATTCTGCTTTGCATTTTAGTTCCATTTTTCCTCATCTGGAGCGTGATAAACACAATGTCCTGGATGCAGGGGACCACACAGGCACTGCCATGGGGGACCATTGTACTCTTGATGACTCTCTGGGTACTTGGTAAGTATGGGGACCCACACTGGCTTTACCATGGGAGTAACTCTGCACTCTCAGTGACACTGCTAGGATCCACCATGCTTTCCTCATGAACATGGGTGTTTTTTTGTGATTTTTAGTTAAGACTTGCTGGATTATTGCAGCCAATCTCATGATATATGTTGTTGATTATATTATGCTTGTCCTTTTTTGCCTCTGAACCTGGCACTGCAGTTCTTCCAACAAGTGCAACCTTTTCCTTTCTGTATCTTATACTATATCCATGTTCACATCAGTGAAAAATAAGACTCCAGAGTATATGCTCCTTATGTGATCTTCTTGACATTTAAGCTGGATGTGAACATGCCTCTCTCAGGAGCTGTGCTCAATACAGGAATCTGATAATAAGATTTTTTTTTTTTTTTTTGTGGTGATTTGGTGAACATCTCCTTGTTGGGTCTGTGGTTGAGGGTTCCTCTCTGTTTTCTAACATCTTCCACTCTCTCTATTTCTTCCAGTAGGATACCCCTTGACAGTCATCGGTGGGATCTTTGGAAAGAACTACGCCAATGGCTTTGATGCCCCTTGCCGTACCAAGAACATCTCCCGCGAGATACCAGACGTGCCCTGGTACAGGTCTGCAGGTGTCCACTGCCTCGTTGCGGGATTTCTACCATTTAGGTGAGATTTAGTTTCAAATGTAAAGAAAATGCACCAAATTTGACATAAGTATTTGAAAAAAAAATCACCTTTATATTTTTTATGAGCTTTTAGATTTTAAAAGATCGGTTACATTCAATAAAGAGAGGCAACAGTTACAGTAATAAAAAAAAACTTGAATGAGTATGAGATTTTATGAATATAATTTAATATAATATTATATAATATATATATAATAATATAATCCATATTTCAGTGCAATCTCCGTGGAGCTGTACTACATATTTGCCACACTGTGGGGACGGGAGCAGTACACGCTGTACGGAATATTATTCCTGGTCTATGTGATCTTACTGAGCGTGACAGCCTGTATCTCTGTGGCGCTGACCTACTTTCAGCTCTCGGCGGAGGATTATCGTTGGTGGTGGCGGTCCATATTCAGCGCAGGGTGAGTGACTGTCTTGTTACTTTTGCCAATGAGGTTCTGTTTTTGCCTCCTTTGGTTTGTTAAGAAACAGCTTTATTCAAAAGGTTATTGGCGGATTTTGATTAAATTTTCTGGATAGGTCAGAAATAAGTTCACCAAGGTTAGATTTTGATGGTGATCCATTTATTAAATAATAAATAATATTTGTGTTTTGTCTTGGAATTCATTTCAAACATTTGTCTGAAGTTTGGGTGTGGTTGGGTGGGGTGGAAGGGAATTTACAGCTGTAAAATGCAAAGCTTGCAATTAACAGACTGACACAGATAATATTTTAAGGTAAAATCTAACATAGGCCTGTCATAGTTCAAGGCAATTTAATTAAAAAGTAAAAGCAAAAATGAGTGCAGTGAGTGCAGAAATAGAGGTTAGTACGTAAAGAACATATCGCAGAGCAGAGCTGTGGATAAAACATAAATATAGATCTGATGAAAGATAAAACACTTTGATTGAGACGCACAACACTGGGAGTTCAAAGATGAAATGGAGAAAGGTTCAAGATGCTAGCTGCAGGACGGGGTCAGGTGTAAGGGGCATTCCTTTAAGATGTAGTACTTAACAAATGCCAAAATATCTCCTTCCCAGGTTGTGTTCACAGCGTGACTAACTTAAACTTTACACAGTATGAATTTTACTGACCAGATGACCTTATTGTTAAATATGTCTTGTAAATTTTCTAGAATGGATGGGATTGCTTTATTGGTCAGTTTATCGAGTGATGTCATTAAGGTTATAATTGGTTTGAGTTAAGGTCGGTGTACCTTCACCTGAGAATCTTGAAACATTTTGGTACAGTCGTGGTAAGTGGTATGCACTCAGATAACAACTTGGAGGCATTGACCTCTGTTTGCTTTAACTGGTACAAATTCTTTATGGTTTCTTTAATACAAATTCATTTATTTGTAAAAAGCTCCTCCACCAAACAAAATTTTTAGTCATTTTCCCCATTAATACCAGGGGTAATTATACAAGTTCTTCTGTCAGACCTTGTGATCTTGCAGAGTGAATCTTAAATCTGCCAAATCCAGAAAATGCTATGATTTTGGTAAAGAAATGGAAAAGACACTAAGTACTGTTTTTCAAGAAATTATTATTACAATCACTGTTAATGCAGTGTCAATTTCTGGCTAAAGGAAAAAAGAAATAATAATAATTATTATTAAAATATTTCAACAAACATGATTTTGCTAAGGTAATAGAGAAAGCATAACCATTTTTCAAAAAATCACCATCACTGTTAATGAGGTGTCAATTTTTAATCTGGCTAAAAGCATTTGGCTATTTGTAAGAAAAAAAGCTGAACCAATAATAATTATAATAATAATAAAATTTAGAAATCTCAGAATAAGGCCAGTGTATTTTCCCTGGCACAGGTGGTAGTTTTAAGGTGAATGCTATCCTCAGCAGCTGGTTTTACCTGCCTCACCTGGCAGGGACAACACTATAGAAGTACACTAATGTGAAAATTAGAGCCTTTTATCCCCTCGTGCTGAGATCTCAATCTTCTCACCCGGTGTAGTACACACGCTCCTCCATCACACACGTCATGTGCACCTTACGGCATGTGCTTGACATTTTCTTAGCTCGTGGGGGATTTGCGCCGACTTTGTGGAGTGAGTGTTTGCGTGACGTGCTCTTTGCTCTTCCCCTTGTTGAAGAAGAGGTGGTGCCAAGTACGAGAGACGGCAGGGAGCTTGTCCAGGCTATACTCTCAGTTTGGAAGAGGTTCTGTGAGGGTTTTGATGGATTTGGAGAGAAAGAGAGAGAGAGATTGTTATGGGGTTTTTGATGGAATTTGAGAAAGAAGGAGACAAAAACCTGCGTAGCACTTAGGTATTAAAAATTCCCACATTTTGCTGAAAACTTGTCAGCCTACATACAGCTTCTAAAAAATAAGTGTTCATGAATTGGAATTGCAGGGATTTTGAGAGAGAGAGAGAGAGAACTTCATAGTCTGTTGCTATCAGAAATGCCAACATTTTGCTGACTTTTTATCAAATCTAAGCCTTCATATATCCAGTTAAAATGACTCTGGTCATGGCCTGGTATTGAAGGGTGGTCACATTAAGGCCCTCTTCTTTAGTTGTTCTGTTTTGTAACCCCAGTCTTCAAACCACCCTTCCAACCTCTCCCCTCACCCTCCCCAACGGGCCTCTTTACCTATCAGGGTGGTTTGCCCCAAGACTCTCAGAATACATGACATTACCTATGAGCCAGGGAACATTATTTATCTAGCGTGGCTATTTATTTATACGGAGAATGAGGGAAATTGTGCATCAGAATATCAGGGAGCTTGTTACCTGGAGTTTGGGGTCACGCTATGTTTTCTCAGAACAGTAGTATATATAATTGGAAGTACATGGGAAGTGAATAAAATATGATCTTCCTGGAAATAGGAATATATATATAAATAAGCAGTTGTATATGTGGGGGAAAAAAAGAAAGAAAAGAATGGGGTGAGTGACCGGGAAAGTGGGGTGACTCTGACGATTGCTGGGAATTTTACTGGGAAATTCAGTGAAAAAGATATTTAAGAACATTTTAAAGCAGTTGTTGGCATCTGTATTTTTAATTGGTGTTATAAACGCCCAACTGTACATGGATTAGGTGAATATATGTACTGAGACAGATTACCAAGGAAGTGTTACCAGTGACAGAAAAAATTATACACACACACATATGCAGAGATGCATATATACATGCACATGCAGATGTGCATATACACAGATACACACACACACACACACACACACACACACAAACATGCATTTTTATTTGCCATAATCCGCACACACCACAAAAGAAAAAAAATGCTTGCAAAAGTTTAACACCATAGTATCCAAGAACTCTGTGCAATTCCAGTATTGACTCCAGTTTTAGTACAGATAATGTCACTACTGGCAGATATAATGACCTCCCCCCCCCTCCCCCTCCCACACACACACACACACACACACAATTGCTTTCTCATAATTCAAAGCTACAGCGGGAGTAAACCCCATGCTACAACTGCCTAGAAACAAAGAAGCTAGTAGAGATGGGCCTATAGTATTATCAGTACCTTCCACATGAACTAGCAAGAAACCCTACTCCCCCCAACCCCCAATATATTGGTTTTCCACAATCCAAAGCTACCACCAGAGCAAAACCCATGCCACAACTGCCTAGAAACAAAGAAGCCAGCAGAGACAGGCCTATAGTATTACCAGTACCCTCCACATGTGCTACCATTCAGCATGGGCTCTCAGTTGTGAAACTCAATCTCACGGGGATGATGCTGACACTCCTTATAAGGAAGCTGCCTTCATTCAGTAGCTGTCTGTCAGTCAGTTTGATTGGCAGCTGAGGAGGGGAATCCCCTGCCAGATGATCTCTGTGAGGCTGTTTCAGTGTTCTAGTTGGAGCCATCAGTCATTGTGAGTGATGGGAGAGAGGGGCAGGGTCTATAGAGAACATGTGGCGAAGAGATTTGTTGGGGATTTTTCTTTGTGGTGTTTGTTGCTCTTCTAGATGATGATGATCATGATGATGGCTTTGGAGGGCATCCAGAGTGACAGAGTTGAGGGTCTTAGTTCAGTTGAATGAATAAATTACTGTGTGTGTGTGTGTGTGCGTGTTGACTGGTGCGTGTGTAAGAGAGAGAAAGAGAAAGAGAGCTGTTTATTATTGAAAACTCGGCAGATGGAGCTTATTAAATTCATTTTGTGGCAATGAGGTTTCAGAAGATGGTTTTTATTATGATTCTAAGTCTTGCACCACCTCCCTTATTTGTTCTTTTCAAAATTTGAGTCAAAGGAAACAAGAATAGAAAATGAAGAACATAGTATTCAGAGAAGGTGACTTCCTTTTATTTGTTCTTTTCAAAAACGTAGTATACGAAAACCAGAATTGAAAATAAAGAACATGGAATTCTGTTGGTAGAAGTCATTGACTCCAATAGAAAATCAGAAACAGTGCCTGGCAAGTAGATGTGCTACAGTGCTGTGTACGCAGTGTTTATCAGTTATCATATCAAACCACAGTAATTGAGAAATAAAAAAATCTATCTGTGACACAAAATCTATCTGGGAACTTGATTTCTGTGATCTGTTGGTATTTTTATTGTTGCATTTTTCTACTGGTATGTTTCATAAAACAAAAAGGTCGCTCCAAAAATGGGGGGAAAAAGATGGAATAGGCAAAACCAGCCTAATAAGGACATTGTACTTCTTAATTGGTTCAGAGGCCTATGTGAAAGGCATGTTGTTTTTTAGGAGAGGGAAATTTTCAAATGACCCAATTTGGTCTGGAATCATGTTTCAGTTTGAAAACTCATACAGCGTGTTGACAGCTGGGGAGGCAGTGAGTGCAGCTGCTGAGGGGTTTCTGTGAGGATCAAAATTATATTGCTGAAGGTTGAAGACCTAAGGTACTACTTGATACAGTTTACAAGCTGACCCAGATGATGCAGTTACAGACAATGAGAGAGAGACAGAGAGAAAATTATATTAAATGTTTTGAAAAATATATATTAACTTTTTAATTACTAATCATTGCAATAATTTCTCACTAAATGTGCAACTCAGCATTTCACAAATCAGATTCATTTTATTTTGATCCAAATTTGATAAAACTTTTTTATTATTTCATCGAGTGAAACCATATTTTTTCTACATTTTTTTCAGTACTTTTGCACTTGTAAAACTCTTTTCTCTATTTCCTGCCCAAGTTGCTGAGTGTGCATCATAAATCACCAAAGCCTCTTAAACTGACACTGTCTTACATAAAACAGATTAAATGGAGCTTTTTTATGGTACACATTCATTAAATTTGAACAAAATTAAATAAGTTTATTTTGTTAAGTGGGGTTATTTTGAAATACTTGATATATTACAGTCCATGTCTGAAAATTAATTTGGCTTAAGACACAAAGTTAGGCGTTTATGAGTATCCCAGAACCTGTCAACTTCCTTGGCTTAAGTGACTAGGATTTCCATGAGAGTGCTTTTACACTACTGCAGATAGGGTGAGATATGACCATGTGACCTTGGTAATTAAGTTCTTAGCCAGGGAACCTGATTTAAGTTTTTTTTTTTTTTTTTTTTTTTTTTTTTTTTTGTGAAACCACAGCTAGGAAAATTATGTGAATTTTAAAACNGAAAAGGACTTCATTTGTGCCTTGTTAATATTTAACACATAATACGAACCATAATATGGGGGCTAGTCATAGACTTGAAAAAAGGACTTCATTTGTGCCTTGTTTATATTTAACACATAATCCGAACCATAATATGGGGGCTAGTAATAGACTTGGAAAAAAAAACTTCCTTCACGTCATATTACTATTTTATACATATATACTGTAAAATGCTTTATAGATATATCATGTCAACGTTAACTGTGTATATTCTGTGTTTTAGGTGTGGCTGGTTATGTGGCTGCTAATATGTACAAGAAGATGGGAGGAGAGAGTTGGGTGTGGAACATTAACCTCACCTCTTGCCTGTTCTCTTGTGAGTATTCAAAAATGGTGAAAAAAAAAACAAAAGTCACCAAGCTAGCAGTCTCCATTATATGGAAAACTTGTATTTATTAAACGGTTTTCACATATTAAGTGCTTCTCTTGTATAGATGGATTATTGTTTTGGAGAAAATATATCAGATGGCTAGCAAACCATGTTAAGGCAATATTTGTTGTAAGAAACCATGATTCAGAACTCTTTGTATTTTTCACATTTCCCTATTTTCAATTCTGCTTTGCGTTTCAGTTCCATTTTTCCTCATCTGGAGCGTGATAAACACAATGTCCTGGATGCAGGGGACCACACAGGCACTGCCATGGGGGACCATTGTACTCTTGATGACTCTCTGGGTACTTGGTAAGTATGGGGGCTGCACAGGCTTTGCCATGGGGTAACTCTGCACTCTCAGTGACATTGCTATGATCCACCATGCTTTTCTCATGAACATGGGTGTTTTTGTGATTTTTAGCCAAAACTTGCAAATTTCATGATATATGTAGCTGATTGTTTGCTTGTCTTTTTGCCTCTGAACCTGGCACTGACTTTGAAATTTTATTCAGAAGTTGTAAGGTCCCTAGAGAGCTTCATCTAGATTTTGACTCTATTCTCTTTCCATTGGGTAGAACAGCTTTTATGAAAGTTACCTGATAAAAGACTAGACTTGAGAATTCATAGTGATTGGCTCAAGGATAGTATTGGGCAGGTCTCCCTTACTACTATTTTGATGGCTCTTAAAGAAAAATAAACCTTTAGTTATTAATCTTCTGCCTAGTGCCTACTTTACTTCTTACATCACTCACTGTGTTTTTGTTTATACCAGTTGTTTGGCTGGTGGAGGTCCTCTATTTTGGATAATAAATACATTACAGTTCTACCACCTAGTGGAATCTTTTCCTTCTTTTATCTTATGCTATGTCTATGTTCACACCAGTGAAAAATAAGACCCCAAAGTATATGCTCCTTATGTGATATTCTTGACATTTAAGCTGGATGTGAACATGCCTCTCTCAGGAGCTGTGCTCAATACAGGAATCTGATAATGATTTTTTTTTTTTTTTTTTTTTTGTGGTGATTTGTGAACATCTCCTTGTTGGGTCTGTGGTTGAGGGTTCCTCTCTTTTTTCTAACATCTTCCACTCTCTCTATTTCTTCCAGTAGGATACCCCTTGACAGTCATCGGTGGGATCTTTGGAAAGAACTACGCCAATGGCTTTGATGCCCCTTGCCGTACCAAGAACATCTCCCGCGAGATACCAGACGTACCCTGGTACAGGTCCGCAGGTGTCCACTGCCTCGTTGCGGGATTTCTACCATTTAGGTGAGATTTAGTTTCAAATGTAAAGAAAATTTGCACCAAATTTGACATAAGTATTTGAAAAAAAATCACCTTTATATTTTTGATGAGCTTTTAGATTTTAAAAGATCGGTTACATTCAATAAAGAGAGACAACAGTTACAGTAATAAAAAAAACTTGAATGAGTATGAGATTTTATGAATATAATATAATATAATATTATATAATATATATATAATAACATAATCCATATTTCAGTGCAATCTCCGTGGAGCTGTACTACATATTTGCCACACTGTGGGGACGGGAGCAGTACACGCTGTACGGAATATTATTCCTGGTCTATGTGATCTTACTGAGCGTGACAGCCTGTATCTCTGTGGCGCTGACCTACTTTCAGCTCTCGGCGGAGGATTATCGTTGGTGGTGGCGGTCCATATTCAGCGCAGGGTGAGTGACTGTCTTGTTACTTTTGCCAAGGAGGTTCTGTTTTTGCCTCCTTGGTTTATTCAAAAGGTTATTGGGGGATTTTGATCAAATTTTCTGGATAGGTCAGAAATAAGTTCACCAAGGTTAGATTTTGATGGTGATCCATTTATTAAATAATAAATAATATTTTACTGTGTGTGCTTTGTCTTGGAATTCATTTCAAACATTTGTCTGAAGTTTGGGTGTGGTTGGGTGGGGTGGAAGGGAATTTACAGCTGTATAAGGTAAAGCTTGCAATTGACAGACTGACACAGATAATATTTTAAAGTAAAAACTAACATAGGCCTGTCATAGTTCAAGGCAATTTAATTAAAAAGTAAAAGCAAAAATGAGTGCAGTGAGTGCAGAAATAGAGGTTAGCACGTAAAGAACACATATTGCATAGCAGAGCAGAGCTGTGGATAAAACATAAATATAGATCTGATGAAAGATAAAACACTTTGATTGAGATGCACAACACTGGGAGTTCAAAGATGAAATAGAGAAAGGTTCAAGATGCTAGCTGCAGGACGGGGTCAGGTGTAAGGGGCATTCCTTTAAGATGTAGTACTTAACAAATGCCAAAATATCTCCTTCCCAGGTTGTGTTCACAGCGTGACTAACTTACACCCCATTCTCATAGATTAGATCGACCTACATTGGATCGACCTAACTCCCTGGGAGTTCACGCTAAATAGCTGTCAGCCGGGCGGACACGAAAGTTAATTACCCCTTAAAGCTTGTAGTAGGCGGGGACGGACACTTAAGGGGGATTATCTGACAGTAATCTAGTGAGACTCCCCGCGGTGATAGATCGATCTAAAAGTTGTGAGAACAGAGCCTTAAACGTTGCACAGTATGAATTTTACTGACCAGATGACCTTATTGTTAAATATGTCTTATAAATTTTCTAGAATGGATATAGGATTGCTTAATTGGTCAGTTTATGGTGTGATGTCATTAAGGTTATAATTGGTTTGAGTTAAGGTCGGTGTACCTTCACCTGAGAATCTTGAAACATTTTGGTACAGTTGGGATAAGTGGTATGCACTTAGATAACAACTTGGAGGCATTGACCTATGTTTGCTTTAAAGGGATAATAACTCTTTGTATGAGATCTATATTTCACAATAAAAACATTGTGAATAACTCATAGAAATGAAATATATTCTGTTTTACCACAAAAACAGCAATTATAGCTATTATTCTGATATTTGAGCTTGTCTTCAGACCACGTGACCTCCATTGATGGCTATACTCTGTTATAATCTCTTAAGAGATTTTAACAAAAAACCAAACTTTTTAGAAAAAAACCAGGGACTAACTTTGAATGTAAAAATGGATTCATTAACCATTAGTAAGTATGGGAAAATTATTGTTTACTCCAGGAAAATTCATTTTTTGGCCAAAACAAAGAGTTATTATCCCTTTAACTGGTACAAATTCATTATGGTTTCTTTAATACAAATTCATTTATTTGTAAAAAGCTCCTCCACCAAACAAAAATTTTAGTCATTTTCCCCATTAATACCAGGGGTAATTATACAAGATCTTCTGTCAGACCTTGTGATCTTGCAGAGTGAATCTTAAATCTGCCAAATCCAGAAAATGCTATGATTTTGGTAAAGAAATGAAAAAGACACTAAGTACTGTTCTTCAAGAAATTATTATTACAATCACTGTTAATGCAGTGTCATTTTCTGGCTAAAGGAAAAATATTAAAATATTTCAACAAACATGATTTTGCTAAGGTAATAGAGAAAGCATAACCATTTTTCAAAAAATCACCATCACTGTTAATGAGGTGTCAGTTTTTAATCTGGCTAAAAGCATTTGGCTATTTGTAAGAAAAAAAGCTGAACCAGTAATAATAATAATAAAATTTAGAAATCTTAGAATAAGGCCAGTGTATTTTCCCTGGCACAGGTGGTAGTTTTAAGGTGAATGCTATCCTCAGCAGCTGGTATTACCTGCCTCACCTGGCAGGGACAACACTATAGAAGTACACTAATGTGAAAATTAGAGCCTTTTATCCCCTCGTGCTGAGATCTCAATCTTCTCACCCGGTGTAGTACGCACGCTCTCCATCACACACGTCATGTGCACCTTACGGCATGTGCTTGACATTTTCTTAGCTCGTGGGGGATTTGCGCCGACTTTGTGGAGTGAGTGTTTGCGTGACGTGCTCTTTGCTCTTCCCCTTGTTGAAGAAGAGGTGGTGCCAAGTACGAGAGACGGCAGGGAGCTTGTCCAGGCTATACTCTCAGTTTGGAAGAGGTTCTGTGAGGGTTTTGATGGATTTGGAGAGAAAGAGAGAGAGAGATTGTTATGGGGTTTTTGATGGAATTTGAGAAAGAAGGAGACAAAAACCTGCGTAGCACTTAGGTATTAAAAATTCCCACATTTTGCTGAAAACTTGTCAGCCTACATACAGCTTCTCAAAATAAGTGTTCATGACCTGGAATTGCAGGGATTTTGAGAGAGAGAGAGAACTTCATAGTCTGTTGCTATCAGAAATGCCAACATTTTCCGGCCTTTTATCAAATCTAAGTCTCCATATATCCAGTTAAAATGACTCTGGTCATGGCCTGGTATTGAACGGTGGTCACATTAAGGCTTCATTCACATGGAAAGTCTATTTTCTAAATTTTATTTTCTATTCGCGGTTTGTTTTGTGATCATGGTCTGTGCCCTGAATATCCCACGGCGTGATTACTGGCATCGCGAGCCAGTTACTTATACAAAGCTGTAATTAATTCTCGGCTGTGCTCGGAGGAGATTCTGATACCTTGACGCATGCGCAGTAGTATCTCTAAGCTGTGGAGTTCATCGGTTTAGGTGTGACGACTCAAACATACAGACGCGAAATATGCACAAAATCGACAAACACATTTTTCAAAGCAATCGTGGTCGCCATTAACTTGCTAAATTCCTACTGCGCATGCGTAAAGGTATCAGAATCTCCTCAGAGCACAGCCGAGAGTTAATTACAGCTTTGTATAAGTAACTGGCTCGCGCTGCCTGTAATTAGGCCGCAGGATATTCAGGGCACAGACCGTGATCACTAAACATACCGCGAATAGAAAATAGAATTTAGAAAATAGACTTCCCATGTGAATGAAGCCTAAGGCCCTCTTCTTTAGTTGTTCTGTTTTGTAACCCCAGTCTTTAAACCACCCTTCCAACCTCTCCCCTCACCCTCCCCAACGGGCCTCTTTACCTATCAGGGTGGTTTGCCCCAAGACTCTCAGAATACATGACATTACCTATGAGCCAGGGAACATTATTTATCTAGCGTGGCTATTTATTTGTACGGAGAATGAGGGAAATTGTGCCTCAGAATATCAGGAAGCTTGTTACCTGGAGTTTGGGGTCACGCAATGTTTTCTCAGAACAGTAGTATATATAATTGGAAGTACATGGGTAGTGAATAAAATACGATCTTCCTGGAAATAGAAATATATATATAAATCAGCAGTTGTATATGTTGGGAGAAAAAAGAAAGAAAAGAATGGGGTGAGTGACCGGGAAAGTAGGGTGACTCTGACGATTGCTGGGAATTTTACTGGGAAATTCAGTGAAAAAGATATTTAAGAACATTTTAAAGCAGTTGTTGGCATCTCTGTATTTTTAATTGGTGTTATAAACGCCCAACTGTACATGGATTAGGTGAATATATGTACTGAGACAGATTACCAAGGAAATGTTACCAGTGACAGAAAAAATTATACACACACACATATGCAGAGATGCATATATACATGCACATGCAGATGTGCATATACACAGATACACACACACACACACACACACACAAACATACATTTTTATTTGCCATAATCCACACACACCACAAAAGAAAAAAAATGCTTGCAAAAGTTTAACACCATAGTATCCAAGAACTCTGTGCAATTCCAGTATTGACTCCAGTTTTAGTACAGATAATGTCACTACTGGCAGATATAACGACCTCCCCCCCCCTCCCCCTCCCACACACAACACACACCCCAATTGCTTTCTCATAATTCAAAGCTACCGCGGGAGTAAACCCCATGCTACAACTGCCTAGAAACAAAGAAGCTAGTAGAGATGGGCCTATAGTATTATCAGTACCTTCCACATGAACTAGCAAGAAACCCTACTCCCCCCCAACCCCCAATATATTGGTTTTCCACAATCCAAAGCTACCACCAGAGCAAAACCCATGCCACAACTGCCTAGAAACAAAGAAGCCAGCAGAGACAGGCCTATAGTATTACCAGTACCCTCCACATGTGCTACCATTCAGCATGGGCTCTCAGTTGTGAAACTCAATCTCACGGGGATGATGCTGACACTCCTTATAAGGAAGCTGCCTTCATTCAGTAGCTGTCTGTCAATCAGTTTGATTGGCAGCTGAGGAGGGGATTCCCCTGCCAGATGATCTCTGTGAGGCTGTTTCAGTGTTCTAGTTGGAGCCATCAGTCATTGTGAGTGATGGGAGAGAGGGGCAGGGTCTATAGAGAACATGTGGCGAAGAGGTTTGTTGGGGATTTTTCTTTGTGGTGTTTGTAGCTCCTCTAGATGATGATCATGATGATGGCTTTGGAAGGCATCCAGAGTGACAGAGTTGAGGGTCTTAGTTCAGTTGAATGAATAAATTACTGTGTGTGTGTTTGGTTGTCTGTGTGTGTAAGAGAGAGAGAGAGAGAAAGAAAGCTGTTTATTATTGATAACTCGCCAGATGGAGCTTATTAAATTCATTTTGTGGCAATGAGGTTTCAGAAGATGGTTTTTATTATGATTCTAAGTCTTGCACCGCCTCCCTTATTTGTTCTTTTCAAAATTTGAGTCAAAGGAAACAAGAATAAGAATTGAAGAACATAGTATTCAGAGAAGGTGACTTCCTTTTATTTGTTCTTTTCAAAAACTTAGTATACGAAAAATAATTGAAAATAAAGAACATGGAATTCTGTTGGTAGAAGTCATTGACTCCAATAGAAAATCAGAAACAGTGCCTGGCAAGTAGAGGTGCTACAGTGCTGTGTACCCAGTGTTTATCAGTTATCATATCAAACCACAGAGTAATTGAGAAATAAAAAAATCTATCTGTGACACACTGGGAACTTGATTTCTGTGATCTGTTGGTATTTTTATTGTTGCATTTTTCTACTGGTATGTTTCATAAAACAAAAAGGTCGCTCCAAAAATGGGGGGGGGGGGGAAAGATGGAATAACCAAAACCAGCCTAATCAGGACATTGTACTTCTTAATTGGTTCAGAGGCCTATGTAAAAGGCATGTTGTTTTTTTAGGAGAGGGAAATTTTCAAATGACCCAATTTGGTCAGGAATCGTGTTTCAGTTTGAAAACTCATACAGCGTGTGTTGACAGCTGGGGAGGCAGTGAGTGCAGCTGCTGAGGGGTTTCTGTAAGGATCAAAATTGCTGAAGAAGGTTGAAGACCTAAGGTACTACTTGATACAGTTACAAGCTGACCCAGATGATTCAATTATAGACAATGAGAGAGAGACAGAGAAAATTATATTAAATGTTTTGAAAAATATATATTAATTTTTTAATTACTAATCATTGCAATAATTTCTCACTAAATGTGCAACTCAGCATTTCACAAGTCAGATTTATTTTATTTTGATCCAAATTTGATAAAACTTTTTTATTATCTCATCGAGTGAAGCCATATTTTTTTCTACATTTTTTTCAGTACTTTTGCACTTGTAAAACTCTTTTCTCTATTTCCTGCCCAAGTTGCTGAGTGTGCATCATAAATCACCAAAGCCTCTTAAACTGACACTGTCTTACATAAAACAGATCAAGTGGAGCTTTTTTATGGTACACATTCATTAAATTTGAACAAAATGAAATAAGTTAATTTTGTTAAGTGGGGTTATTTTGAAATACTTGATATATTACAGTCCATGTCTGAAAATGAATTTGGCTTAAGGACACAAACTAAGGCGTTAATGAGTATCCCAGAACCTGTCAACTTCCTTGGCTTAAGTGACTAGGATTTCCATGAGAGTGCTTTTACACTGCTGCAGATAGGGTAGATATGACCATGTAACCTTGGTAATTAAGTTCTTAGCCAGGGAACCTGACTGAAGGTTTTTTTTTTTTTTTTTTTTTTTTTTTGTGAAACCACAGCTAGGAAAATTATGTGAATTTTTTAACGATAGGGACAAAAAAGAGGAGTGTTCAGAAATTGTGAGCAAGTACCGTATTTTGTACCTGCCATGTTGCCGAGGGAGCAGCAGGTTAATTATGGTAGTGTTTTAATGGGGGAGGATGAGGTGATGGTTACGTGAAGATGTGGCTCGAGACAGGTGGGAGTGCTCAACCTGTTGTAACATAAAGTATGCCAGAATGAGGGATGGGGGAGATGACTTTTATATGCACCTGTGGGGAACGTGGAGAATCTGGAGATTTTTTTGTATCTTTTTTTTTTCCGACTGAATTGTGAGTAAAAAAGGGTACATTTTGACAAGAAGAAAAATGTTTTTTGACGTCAAACAACCAAGATCTTATTTTCTTTCAGAGATAAAATATTACTATGTGAAATGCATTAAAGCATTAATCATTTCAAATGAACAAAGGAGAAAAAAACCAAAAGAACAAAATCTGCAGTTTATTTATGATTTATGCTGGATTTTTAGCTTCTAATAAAGGATCATTTATCATTTCAAAGGAAGAAAAACGCAGAATGTAGGTTAAGGTGAAACAATTTTATGATTCAAATATGTTTGATTCCTTACACTTCAGACCTAATATGATGAATAGTACATGTCAAAATTACAAAGTTTGGCATAGAATGGTATTTTGTTCATTGTATAATGAAGCAATTTGCACTATAAACATCGGGGAAAATAAAAGGGAATCCTTTGTTAGCACCTGAAGAAGAAACAGCTTGTCTTTGTGTTATTTTTGCTGCTGGTAGCAATTCTGTCTGTTATCTTTCTCTACATGAGTGATTATTGAAGTCTGAGGTGAGATACCTGTTTGATGTACTAGTAAAGATTTACTCTGCTCAAAGTCACTTCTGCTGGTCTAAATTTTTAAACTTGGGCAAACTTAAGATGTATGTATGTTAATCATCTTGTCAGTTTTAATTGCCATGTGTCTACCTAATGTGAGGTCCAATCAGTGTAAAGAAAAACTCAATAGAGGAAAGAAATGAAAATGAAAAGATAAAGCAAAAATATTTCACATTTACACAGTGAGGAAGGAGGTTGATAGCAAAAACAACCAGTTGAAGTATAATTTGGTCTAATTTGATTAGGGTTCATTATGTACTGGACATTTAAAGTAAACTGCCTTATTTCACAGATGACCAGTCTGACTTGGTGGAGTGTAAACAGGCCTCTTGTAATAAGTACTCTGTATCACAAGTAGGTCTGGCTCGGTCCAGTGTAAACAGGACTTCAGTTATAACCGCTGTGTATTGCAGGTGGTAAACTTGTGTTCACGATGTAAAGAGAAGTTGTTAACACAGCAACCCCGCTGTGTGTGGTATTTATGTTGAACAGGAGCTACTGAACTCTCTTTGTGTCCTTTTATCTCCGGGACAGTCAAGGTGATATGTGATAAACTGCGGCTTTTTGTTTATTGATTTTGTCTGTAGGATGCGCAGGTGAAACTGCGTCAAACAGGAAAATGTTTGGTGGATAAAAGTGTACCTTTTTTTGAAATGACTAGAATGATCCAGAAAAATGAAAAACAAATTAGCCGAATACTTTAACTGAGACATTTGAGCCTGAAAAGGAGTTTTTGTTAAAAAAAAAATTAAGCTAGAAAAGGATTCAGAGAGCTTAAACTTCCTTCAAAACAGCTGATTAATAAACAAACTAATTGATTAATTAATCGTCACTAAAACTTACCAAATTCCTGATCTATCAAAAATGTGCTAAAATCCTACTATGACTCTTTGCATAATGGTGCTAACCGACAGACTGACAAATTGTTTACTAACAAGTAACCATTGACTTCTGGATCACCACCGGAATCTGGGCCCAGTATCTCAAAAGCATCGTGCATTGTGACCGTGCGCAAGCGTCTCAATTCCATAACTCGCACATACTTGCCCCATATAATACATTGTAGCCTCTATGTGATATCGCTATTCGCAATATGCGATGCTTTTGAGATACGGGGCCCTGATCATGTTTCTGACCTATCCAGAAAATTTTATAAAAATCCAGCCATAACTATTTGAGTGAGGCTGGTGACAAACAGAAAGACTGACAAAAAGAGGCATTGGTGAAAATAAAATGCAAACAAAGCTGGACACTTATCTTATGTGAAAGTTTTCATGGGAAAGTAAACTGTTTTAGTCTCATATATGAAGGCATAGCAATTTTAACAATTTTATGAAATGAACATGTCAATTTTACGTCTTGTGTTTGCCTTCGTATCTCAAAAGCATCGCGTATTGCGAATAGCGATATCACAAAGAGGCTACAATGTATTATATGGGGCGAGTATGGGCAAATGATGGAATCGAGACGCTTGCACACGGTCGCAATTTGCGATGCTTTCGAGATACGGGGCCCAGCTGTCATTTGGATGGCCTCTGTTCTCAAAAGACAGCTTATTTTTTCAAAGATGGATGAACTGCTTAGGAATATTTTTGGAAATGGCAGGTTGGGTACTTGATTCGCTTGGGTTGGACTCCCTGTAAATTGGTGACAAAATTACAGATTCAGATATTGGACTCCCTGTATCCCAAATCCTGGGGAAACCACTGCCTGTCAAAATATTTCAGGTTATACTGCAGAACTTGACTGACCAGTGACCCATATTTATGCTTCTCTTTATTTTTTTTCCAGGTCTACGGGGATGTTCGTGTTCATGTACTCGCTGTTCTACTACTTCAAGCGCTCCAACATGTCAGGACTGTTGCAGACGGTGCAGTTCTTTGGTTACACCATTCTGGTCTGCTACGTGTTTTTCCTGATGTTGGGGACCGTCTCCTTCTTCGCAGCATTAAAATTTGTCCGGTATATCTACGTCAACATCAAAATGGATTGAGGGATTTGTGGGGATTGGTGGTAAACTTTTTTTTATGTACAGCCCGCTTTGAGGTGGGAGCTGTGGGGATATACGTTTTAAAGCCTCATTTTGGACCAGGAACTGTAGACATATCTTTGTGAACAGACTGCTTTTACAATCTAACATACAACTTGAATGTGAGAGACTTAGATTTAGTTGAAATGCTTCATAATGTTCGTCGTCAAGCATTTCTGTGAAGTTATTTTCTTGAATAAGGACAGCAGTTATTGTACAAAAAATATCTGCTTTTAGTTGCGGGTTTTGTAATATAGCAGAGGTGTAAATAGTAAATATGCTATTGTTCATGATACTTGTAACCAGTGGGGAATTACAGGGGCCATGGTACTTGAAATCTTAGTAGGGCATACCTACAACCTCCTTTGTAACATTTCCCCTCTCCAGCCTCATATTCCAGGCCTTTTTTCCTAAAATTATGCCCTTCATCTTATTTGATCCATTTGTTACCAGTTTATGCCCAGTGAGGACAGTTACTGCCCTACGAAGAAAGTTTATGCCCTTCGAAGAAAGTTTATGCCCTATGAGGAAAGTTTATGCCCTCTATTTCCCATTCCCTGGTGGATGATTTATGACTTATGTGGATAATAAATGCCCTCTAAAAGGTCACCTGTTGGGGTGAACAGAGGTTAAACACAATCAAATTTGTTCAAGGGATTTTATAGTATGGGTACTACCATATAACGCAACTGGTCCAAATGCTATGGAAATCTGTGTATATCTATGTAATTCACTAATCTTTGAATGGAAAGATGTATTTTTATGTAAATGGATAATTGTATATGATAAACTTTATAAACGGAAAGATAGGTAGCAGTATGCACCTGTGGTATCCAGAGCTTGGGTTGCACTATGAGTTGTCTGCTCTTGACTGTTCCACATTTTCAGTACTTTAGACAGGAAATTCTCTCTTTCCTGAAAGAATTTAAATGTTTAATACAAATAACACAAGATACTGTATTGTCGCTGAGAGAGGATTTTAAATTTAGCTTTAAATGTAACTTATTATTTGATTTCAAAAATAGTTTGGTGATGTAGTGAAAATATTGTTTTGTGATTAGTGTAACAAAGTAATCATGTTGATATATGACTGGGGGCATTTTCAGAAAGCTTCACCTTCTCTTGATGTAGTGTTTAATTGTAAGATATTGTTACCGAGAACAATAACTCTGCATAAAGACACATTTTGACTAATGGTAGCCAGATTTTTTTTTTTTAAGCAAAGAACTTTAAACTGAATATTGGTCTAAACTTTTAGCCAATAATTTTAGTCCAATATGACCCACAATCAGTGGTACTCCTTTTTAGTACAATATTATGCCTACTGATTGACAAGAAATAAAATGGCTATCATTTTAGACCAATAGTTAGTCTACTTTAGTGGACACTTGCAGCTTTCTTCTGAACTGAAATAAGTCAAAGTTTTTGCCCGAAGTTCTTTTGTGAAAACTGACCCAGATATTATTGCAATTAAGTTCTGAGTTTTGTTTATTAGTCCTGTTGGCAAACTACTTTGTTATATTACTAGTTTTTTTCTAGCAGCATTATTTATTCTCTGGTAGTTGTAGTAGCAGTAGTAAGGTAAAGTCTTTTTTTTTTTAAATCATCTACTGCTTGTAAAGTATTTCTCATTACTTTGTTCCTGCCCTATAACTTCAGTATTCATTGTATTGTGATGTCATTTAGGGTTGTTTCTGTATATGTTTGATAACCGTATCTAATAAGGATGTGACCTTTCTTAATGTTATCAGTTATGAAATTGGACATTGGTCCCAAGCTTTTCAAGAAATTGTGACCAAATGACAAATTTATGTTTAACTTAGCAAAAAACTCTGATAGATCTTATAGAAATGATAGAGATATTGGATAAGTTTCCAAACTGTAGATTAGATATTTGTTTTTATTTATTGTTTATTCACCAATGGTCCAGAAAGCAGAGAAGGTTTGGAAAACAGTACAACTACATTTTGAACAAGTCTGGTTTGCAGTAAATTGTGACACTGGAAGTAAACTGGGTATTTTTCTCCATAGTTTTGATGTAAATTTTAAATGCAACAGTTAAAATTAAAAAAAAAAAAAAGTTAAAGGATTTGGGGGACATTTCTATGTGGATTTATGGCAGAGGTCAAGTGAGATCTCGAATATAGATGTCACTTAAAAAACTGAGTGAGATATTTTGGGTGAGGAGTACATTTAAAGATTGGACTTTGTGTGTGTGAGAGGTGGGGGGAGAGGTTAGACTCTCCACCCACCTCCATCAAATCCTGAATTGGACCCTGGGGCTCCCTAAATGTATCTTTAATGCTAAAGTGTAACTTCACTGTGGAAAACTGCCACTGTAGAACTGAGCACCAATTAAAATGTCTTTTTGTTTTATTATTTTATGTCTGACTTGTAAAGGAGGGATTCAACTGAATTTGTGGAACTGAAGAGAGAAGAATAAATATAAAGTTAAAGGTGAATGTTTCAGTTGTTGTGCTTTTAATTTTCTGTTTTGTTTTTAATGGAGAAATGTAAGCTGTTTGGATCAGACATTCAATGGAGATAGAATAGTTAATGAAAACTTATTTAGTACTCGGCGCGATTGCGCTCGTTCTTTCTCACCTAACACAATTTCATTTTATAACCAATGAAATGCAATCTTTTAATAGTTGGTCCTCAATATGGCGATTTTCTCCGTCTGTCATCGGGAAGGTTTGTTCGTTTTTTTCCTTTCGAATTTTAAGTTTCTTTCTTCATTCATTCCATATTGACAGCTGTCAATATTATTTATGTCAATATCCGCAAATATTACAAGAAATGTATAATAGATAATGCAACTAATGAATGCCGTGTGTGACGGTTTTCAACAGAAACTAAGAAAAAGTTGCTGTTGTCCGGCTGTCTCAGTGATCCAAATAACCTTGCAATTTTTCTATTATCACGAAATAGATATAGTTTGCAAAATGTTGACCAGAATTTAATCTTAAGGGGGCAGTGCACCAATATAAAATTCTCGCAATCTTTTTCGTCGCAATTTGAAAAAAGAAATAAGTGCACTTTTACCAGAGAAACGACCCTTTTCAAGTCTCCGCGTTCCTCGCGATTTAAGTGTTATAACACTTCAATATGCTGTGAATTAAAAATGCTCCTGAGTTTACAAAGAAGAAAAAAGACTGCATTTCTGTCACTGATACGTCATTTCACCACAGTTTATTTAACGCTAGGGGGATTTTTATAACGTAACGACGCAGGTTAAAGATAAAATAGCGCCGAAATTTTTCATATGAATAGAAAACAACTCAAAAGTCGTTTACTGTAACCAAATAGAAGAATTGCGCTGATAGTAAAGAGGGTGCCGCTGTTAAGTTAACTAAAGAGACGCTGACGTGCCCCTTTGTGTGTGAGGGGTGCATGAATAAGGGACGTGTGTTTTCCTAGCCTCCTTACAGGCCGACCCCGGCGACCTTACCCACCGCCCATTCACGCCTCCCTGCGATCTATATCCACATATTTCTAACAGAAGTTTTCTTCTCTTAGTAGTAAAGCGTGTAACAATATTAAACCCCCAAAAGCCAATTAACCGTCCTTTTTTATTCCACTTTTTTTCTTACGTTTTCGATTGACTTCGTAATGTTCAACCCGCCTTACGCCTTTTGAAGGGTTCAATCGCGTCGCTGCTGTCATTTGAGACGCCGGTATTAATGTCTTTCAGAGCGTATTTACAAACAAGTCCAACCTTGACAAAAAGTGAAAAGAGTCCTGCTGCAGTCGAGCCGCAGGTATTATATTACCCATCTTCTCCAGGTGTGAAAATCAAACAAGTTTGGAATGATTTTACGCTTAAGCCAGGAAGTCACACGTGTTGAGATTTCTTCTCCAGTTGACACAGACGCAAATTTGAATGTTGTTCTATTCAGTTTGCATTTAAAAATTAAAAAAGGGTGTGGAGGGACACCTGATGGGTGACGTTAAAGAGTTGCTACCCTTTCTATGAAGAAAACGCATGTAGACGCATATTTCATTTCGACTGAAAAGCCTCTCTGTAGTGTCATAGAAAGGGAAATAGTCGTACAACAAGATCAAAATAAAAGGGTCAATCTCCTCTTGATTCGTGTTCACAAAACGATAACAAAATTGCATTTTACAATTACGAAATAAGATAAATGTTTTGAATGCTGCAATCGTGTTTCTGGATATTAGTCTCCAATAGGTTCAATGTTTCGCTCATTTACCGCCTCGTTTGAGAAATAACCGTACCGCGATTCAACCACCGGGTTCCAATTTGTTTAACATTGTATCAATGTGGCGTAATTATGGAGCGTATCAGTCCGCTGGTGATTACGCTGCTATCCAGAGGGCGTGGCACTTGGGTGCGAGTAACAGGTCCATGTAATACTTAGCGATTCGCCACATTTCAGATTCTCCATGCATTTGGAAAATTGCCTCTTTTTCCTTTAATTTGCCCCAAGCATTGCTCGTTCAAATTTTGTGTTCTTGTATTTGTGTGTTTGTTTTAAAAATACCTCTGTTGTGACATTGTTAATGTTGTGTAACTTCAAATATTTGTTGGTATTTCCTGCTCGATGCGTTTCCCCTTTACTGGAGACTGATCAGCTGCGCCATTCCTTACAAATATTTATCTCATTCATTTGCCGTATTAACTTCTGTTATTAATTGATGTAAGCAGCAAATATTTACGATGTTTGAATATTTAAATTCAGAAATGACGAAACTACATGAATCGACAATTTAATTTTATTCCTATAGGAATTAGGTATGTTAAGAACACTGCAAGATAGCTAAAGTTATTCAACAAATATTTTTTCTTAGAGTGTATAGCAACCTAACAACTTTCCTCTAAGACATAAAGTCATCGTGGCGACACGTTTTTTTTTTTTTAATATACTAAACCAAATATCAAATTTGTGTTGAAGAACTTTGAAATTTATGATTTTAAATTTAAAACAAGTGGCGGCATTTCTTTACTCCATAAGCAACCTATACTGCACTGTGTTCGTGTCTTCCGAAGTCAGTTCGAGTCATAGCACCATTGGTTCAGAAAGTCCCAGACAACGCATACACGGTTGAACGCAATAATCACACCTCCGTGTTTCCGAAGTTCAAGCATATTACAATTTTTTCACAAAACAAACCCAAAAACCAAAGACCAAAGGGCGCTCATTCAATAAGCATGCACTAAATAAACTGCAATAAATAAACAAACAACTCGAAACAGATCAGTGTAAACTGAAATTTTTCAGTTCAAATTTCATAATAATTGTTTTTACGTGGACACGCACTTGCTGGCGTCTAGACCGAATGAACTGTTGGTCGTCACATTTCCCCTCAGAAGACTTAACCTAACCTCAGGCTTTCCATCCCAGATTCGGATACGATTCTCTTCGGAACAATAATCGGGTTGTATTTGTAATACATTTGTGTTTAATTTCAATATTTATGACGCAAATGTTTTTAATGACATAACTGGACACGGGCAAAAGGACATTGTTACACCTGTGTGGAGCTTGACCCGGTTGACCTTCGTAAAATTGCGGACAATGACCAGTGGTCCTTATTCAGCGGTTCTCACAGTTCCAGAGGAACGCACGTGTGCCCCTTAGAGAAGCGGTCAACCTTTACCATGGCTGGCCCGTAAGGCTACCCGTCACAGGGCCCATTCCCATAGTCACCATCGGTCTACGTGAATCGACCCAACTTTTATGGGGACTCTCGCTGACTGCAATCAGCTTAACTAAATGACAAGCCTCCTCCTGGCGTTAAAAAGAATGCAGAAAACATAATACGAGTACGCTGGAAACAAGAGGAGTTAAGCTGATTGCACTCAGTGAGAATCCCTGCAGAGTTGGATCGATCTGCATAGACCGATGGTGTCTGTGGGAATGCAGTCTCAACAGTCGTAACAGTCTCGAACTATTGCGTCGGTTTTAGTAACTGTTGTTTTGGGATGAAAAAGCACCAGTTGACCAGTTTGTGTGACCAGTTGACCGCTAAGTTCAACTCTGCCTGGTCAGTGCTTGAAACTGGACTGAAAACTGAAAGCCAGCAGCATTTTAAAACAAACGTAACAAAGTAAAAATAACTTATCTAATGAACGGCCCGTCCTCTTAATATTCCTGGGTGTTTGTCGTTTAATTGAAATTATTAACTCTTCTTTTTCTCCTTTTAAAACCACGGGAAATTGTAAAAATAAGTTTGTGGCAATCTAAAGAGAAGGGGGTCAAGTTGTTTGAAGCAGACATTGTCATAATCATCTTTATAAGTTTATTCAAAAGAAACCTGCATGCAAATAAAATGTGTTCCAAAAGAGTCACCTGGGATATATAAACATTTTACAACATATAAAACGCAAGTTACGCATGTCCTTGTCAGCCACATGAACCACGAAATCAATATTGAATTATCTCCGAAAATTCCAACGATCTGACAAAGGTGAGCAGCTGAAAACATCGACTCATCCTACCTCAACTCACCGTCTTATGAATATAAATACCTCTAATACGAATACCTTTAGAACAACACGCGTAATCCCGACAAGGGATATATATAAAAATAAGAGGATCCGACAAAATTGAACCAAAATAAAACCAGAAAAACCCCACAAGCTCACTCCTTTGGGACAAAGAGAGTTCATTTCACCTGTCTTCTCAGAGATCGATGGACGAGCTTCACCTGCCCGATTTCCGCAGCCAAAAAACAACATCATTAAACGTAACTCCGCCTTTGTGCGTTCTCGCTAAGTGCCCCCTGCCTCTTTGTAGCCAGCGATCAAATCACCCCGTATTAGGTCCTAATTTGATCGGAGAAAAGAAAGGGTAACATGACAATATTTTTATAATAAATACCAATACTCGAAGAAAGGGGATTACTACAAGAAAGTATTGGACGAAGTATCCAAGGCATTTAAGGTCTTTCACATCGTGACGGTCGATTCCATGATTATGTCTACAACATCAACGGCGGTGGGCATTCCTCGGTATTTGCGTACTGTTCGGAAGTATTTTTGTGGATAAATGAAGTCGTTCACCTTGTGTTTATTATGTTGATTATGAAGTGGAACATCAATTAGAATATCATTACGGACACACGAGAGACTCCCACATACTTTCTTTGTGAAAGGTAACAAAGAATGATCAAATTACTCCTGTGGCGATAATCATGCTGTGCCTATGGCATGTGGAATTGACGATAGATTTGATGGTCTTCTCTCCTTCCCCTCTATCTCTCCTTTTCTCTTTCTCTCTCTCTCTCTCTCTCTCTCTCTCACACACACACGCATACACACGCATACACACGCAGACGCACGCACACAGGCAAACTAAAGGTTTAATATGCTTGATAAAATAGGACGCTGCCATAAAATATATAATTTGTACGTATACAAAATTGTTTTACCATTACTAGGATCCAGAGGCCTATACTGGGTCCTCAATTATTTGGAATATAAAATGCCTTTCCGTCA